GGAGCCCCCCGTGCTGTAGTAAGAGCTAGGGTAGCTCCTAGAGCCAGCTTAAGCTGGGATTGAGCAATCCCAGCTCACGCTGGCTCTGCATTTTAAATGTAATAAGAGCCTGGCAGCTCTTACTACTTTAAAATGCACAGCCAGCATGCTCCAGGAGCTACCCCCATTGCAGTTCTGCAAAGCAACCCTTATTGACTAATCATGTAGTTGATGCAAATTGTATCAATTGCACGATTAGCCAAATAACCATTCTTTAACATCCTTAATATGCAGGAATTAAAGAGCATTTTAATTCTTGCTTTTCTGTTCATGACAATATATAGAGGCTTAATTATTTAAATTACAGAAGAAAGTTAGAGAAACTATTACTTCAGTTTAAAATTGAAGAACTTGTTTTATATTGTGAACAGAAAAAGTTTGTTCAGATAAAACAATCTTTACAAATTTCCATAATCTTTCAAAAGGTGTCTTTTCTTTCTAGGAAAAAATGATTTCCGAAAGCAGTTCTTTTGTGAAAGGTATGATGATAGGAGGACTCTTCTGTGTGTTTGTTACACTCGTAGGCCATATTAAAATGGGCCATGGGACTAAAGCACATCATCATGAGCATCATCATATTCAAGCACCTAACAAAGAAGATGTCTTAAATCTGTCAGAAGGCGAGCGAATGGAGCTCAGCCATAGTATCCGTGTTTATTGTATCATCCTTGTAAAACCTAAAGATCTTGGACATTGGGCTGCAGTGAAAGAAACATGGAGCAAACACTGTGACAAGGCAGAATTCTACAGTTCTGAAAATGTGAAGGTGTTTGATTCTATTGTTCTCAACACAAATGACATGTGGGTGATGATGAGAAAAGCTTATAAATTAGCGTATGAACGCTATAAAGATGAGTACAACTGGTTCTTTCTAGCACATCCAACTACATTTGCTATTATAGAAAATCTCAAATACTTCTTGCTGAAAAAAGATGCATCGCAGCCTTTTTATACAGGGCATGCTGTAAAATCAGGAGAGCTTGAGTATGTAGATGGTGATGGAGGGATTGTCTTAAGTATAGAGTCCCTAAAAAGACTCTCTAAAATTTTTGAAGACCCTGACAAGTGTCCAGAACAGGGAGGCTTGATTTGGAAACTCTCTGAGGATAAACAACTAGCAGTCTGTCTGAAATATACCGGTGTATTAGCTGAAAATGCAGAAGACTCTGAAGGAAAAGATGTCTTTAACACCAAATCAGTTGGTACTCTTATTAAAGAAGCAATGACTAATCAACCTCAACAAGTAATAGAGGGTTGCTGTTCTGACATGGCCATCACTTTCAATGGACTGGCTCCTAATCACATGCATGTAATGATGTATGGTGTTTATAGGCTCAGACCCTATGGGCACAATTTCAAAGATGCACTGGTTTTCTTACCTCCTGAAGGTTCAGACAATGACTGATACCTGTTCAAAGGCGGCATATGTATTGTGTAGAACATGCAGTCAGCTGTTAATATACAATGTGACTTGCATGCATACAAGCTGGTGCAATTTTTGTATTTGATGGTATCTGTATTTTTTGCACATCAGGGTTTGGTCATTTTTAGTTTTAAAGGGGGAATTTTTTTCTTAAAACACTTTTATGCAAAATGTTTCTGGCTCCTGGGGGTATAGAATGAGAAATGGTAATGCTAAAATGTTTGAGAGATAAAGGATACAAGTTTATAGGGGATGTTTGTATGACTAAATATTTATAAGTGAACTCAAATGAATCTTAATCTATTGTAATTTAAATATATTTTTGCAAGATTTTTTGATTCTTCCATGCACTTAAATCTTTATATCTTTCTAAGATGTATAAATAAAACTGAAAATACAGATTTAGTATTAAAGTACAATTTTAAGCTGCTTTCTTTACACTAGTGCTTAAAGCAATTTCAGTTCTAGTCTATAATAGAAATGAGCAGACTGAGTTTTTTTCATTTTTCAGGAAAATGTTGCAGCATTAATATGAAGAAACCTAATCAGTGTCATAATCAGCTGAAGGCTGCTGTGCCTGATTCGCTCAAAAAAAAGTTTAGTGACACACACATTTCCTCTGTTACTTTGTACACTTGCTAGCATTCTGCAGAGTTCACTACTTTCTGCCAAAACATCCATGAAGCTGCAATTTAAGAAGCAACATGCAGATGGGTGCAGTAGACAGAAAGCTCATGCCAGAGGGAATAACCAAGCATGTTTGATAATGCTATCTGAAGGAGTCTTCTAAACCTCAGTGGGGATGGGGAATCTCCTTGTAAAACACATTTGGATATGTTCTTCTAAACAGAATTTTCTAGTAGCTAGCAATTTCAAAAAATTAAGATTACAGTAAAATAAACTGCTTTCTCCTGATCACTGAAGAGAATGAAATGCTGTATCTGAAACATTTTCCTTTTCATGCCATAGTAGACATTACATACACTAATGTTCTTCACTCCTGTTATGTACAGTTTTTGTATACTTACGTCCCATCCTCAAAATGGCTAGTTAGTCTACCTCCTTCACTGTTTTCATAGAAATAACTGGGTTATCACAAGGCTGGATCTCTTGTGTTTTTAGACAAAATATCTAGCCCCTGTGTGTGGAAGCTGTTGTATTAAAATTTCACTTTTATAACAAACTAATATTAGTTAGCTAACTGCAAGTAGCACAGAAAGACAGATACTGACACTCCGTTTCACCGCATGCATAGTACAAATAAATAGGGAAAAGGTTTGCAATTGATACTGACCAGTTAGTAAAAATTCTTTACTATTTCTGTGGTTAGAATACTGGTTTAATTTTTTTCAGAAGTAGCTATTGTGACCCTAAAACCTGTTAAACTGTGGCAGAGTGCAGGCATCTTCACCCAAAGATAGTTTTATCTAACGTGGATTTACATTATCAAAGACATGTTTCACAGAACAAGCCAAAACTTGTGAAAGTTAAATGTTTGAAATATATTTAAAAACAAAGTGGTGCAGCTGTTGGCTGATATTCACTTGAGCAAGTGGGGGTCCTTTTAAAATATTGCTTAGATAGCTCTTACATTGCACTTTGGATCAGCTTGTTTGGTGTAATGGTATGCACTGCAGAGAGTCTCAAAATAGTTGAATGTGTTAATACTCTAAAGCATAAGTTAAAGTAAATTTTAACCTATTCAAGTCAGTCAAAGAACGTGCTCATGATTAAATGCATCCTAGAATATGCAAAGAGCTATCTGAGCCTTTAACTATCAGCATCCTGGTGGAAGGGCATAACAAATGGTGTTCCACAGGGGTAAAATTTGGGACTGGTTCCGTTCAATATCTTCAACTATTTAGATATTGGCATAGAGAATACACTTAAGATTGCAGATACCACCAAGCTGGGAGGGGTTACAAGTACTTTGGAGGATAGGGTCATAATTCAAAATAATCTAGACAAACTGGAAAAATGGTGAGGTAAATAGGATGAAGTTTAAAAGGACAATTGCAAAGTACACCGCTAAGGAAAGAACAATCATTTTCACACAGAGAATGGGAAGTGACTATCTAGGAAGGAGTACTGCAGAAAGGGATTGAGGGGTCATAGTGGACTGTAAGCTAAATGAGTCAACAGCGTGACACTATTGCAGAAAAAACAAACTTGATTCTAGGATGCATTACCAGGAGTGCTGTGAGCAAGACATGAGAAATCATTCTTCTGCTCTATTGTGTGCTGATTAGGCCTCAGTTGTACTATGGTGTCCTGATCTAGGCACCACATTTGAAGAGAGATGTGAAGAAATCGGAGAAGGTCCAGAGAAGAGCAACAAAAATGATTAAAGGTCTAGAAAATATGACCTGTAAGGGAAGACAAAGAATTTGGCTTGTTCAGTTTAGAAAAAGACATAGGGGACATGATAGCTGTTTAAGTATCTAAAAGGGTATCACAAGCAGAAGGGAGAAAAATTGTTCTCCTTTGCTGCTGGTGATAGGATAAGAAGCAAGGGAGGTTTAGGTTGGACATTTGGAAAAACTTCCTAACTTGTCAGGGTGGTTAAACACAGGAATAATTTGCCTAGGGAATTTGTGGAATCTCCATCACTGGAGATATTCAAGAGCAGGTTGGATAGACATCCATCAGGGATGACATAGAAGGTGCTTGGTCCTGCTGTGAGGTAGGGATGTTACATATTGACTAACTGAATAATCGATGCATTTTCATCAACTATTCAATTAGGCAATAGGGCATCACCTCCTTTGAAGTGGGCTCAATTCCTAGGCTCCATGTGGCACTGCCTCTTTAACATGTCATGTGCTGGCCCCAGGCTGCACATGGCATTTCAAAGCAGCAGCACCACATGGAGCCCAGGGTCTAGCTCCAGGCTCCAAGCAGTGCTGCCGCTTTGAAGTACCCCCTCCTCGCTGCCTCTTTCTGATAGGCAGAGGGAAGGCGGGAGAAACTAGTTGACTAACCTGTTGACTGATAAGCATTTGCTTATCGAATAGTCGACTAGTCCTTCACATCCCTAATTTTTTGCATTTTCTAAACTCCATAAAATCTTCGATTCGTTTGAAGTGCACATGGTCAGAAGAGATTAAAAATGGGCATCTCTTACTCAGATCTGCTGTTAATTCCCAGTTCACATAATGACAAGTATTTACTAGTTTTCACTCCTATTAGGAATGTGGTGCCATCTCTTATGGGAAAGGGATCTAGATGAAGTAGAGCTTGAAATCACAACCCAGGATGATAGAAAATGCTAGTTTGGAAATGGAGCAGAATTAAACTAGAAGACCATGAAACAATAAATGTGGAATAATAGTCTGTATAGTGTAACTGAATTTTAAATCACTACAGTCTCTGCATGTCACTAGACTATAGTCCCTCAAAGTCACAGCTATGGATGTAAACAAGTAGTTGACTAGTCAACTTACCAAGTGATGACTCTCTCCCCACACCCCCTTGCAAAGGCGGGGGGGGGGGCAAGAAACAGGAGTGCTCTGGGAAGCTGCATCTCCATGGTGCCACCTACCTGCCCTCACCCACCAGCAGCACTGGGAGGGTGAACAGGAGAGGGGATGCCAGAAAACCGCCTTTGCCTGCAGCTGATCCAAGCTCACCATGGCAGAGGCTACTCCAGCTGCAGCCCCTGGCCACAGAGAACCTCTGCTACAAAGCAGCCTCTGCCTGTGGTGTCCCGAGCTGACTGTGGACAGAGGCTGCTCCAGCCAGGCAGGCAGCCCCGGCCAGGCAGGCAGCCCAGCTCGTGCTGGGTCCAGGATCTAATCCCGCTGCAGCTCTTCAGTTTAAATTTACCAAATTTAGGCGGGCAGGCAGCCCCACTCTTAGTACCTTTAAAACTGAAGAGCTGCAGCAGCGGTAGCTCCTGGACCTGGCACAAGCCGGACTGCCTTCCCTGTCAATTAACTGAGTAGTTGTCAAAAATTCTATCAACTACTTGATTAGCCAATTAACAGCCTCTTAACATCCCTAGTCACAGGACCACACAAAGTAGCACTAGAAACTGAATCGTTTCCATGTAGAATTCTTCCGTCTCATCCATAACAATTATAAAAGATATAGAAGAAAGGACTGAAGTTGTCATGGACTGTTGGTGGTACTAGACTGTTTTAAGTCACTTATAGATCCTCTACTTAATTTTTCAACATTTTCTTTGTGGAAGGGGCTGTAATGTTTTACTGCACTTCTTTCCCCAGAAGGAAATAGGCAATTTTAGTATATTACTGCAGCAGCCATTTTAGCGTTTCCAACAATCTCTCACACGGACAGTTTCAAACAGGTATTTCCTTTACCTTTTCATTATTGACATTGATAGGTTAAAACTGCAGCACTGTCTAACGTCTGGCTTACACCCAAAATAGCAAGTTTACCTAAAGGTGTAATTTTAAACAGCTTTCATTAACTTGCTGTCACTGAACATTCTTAAATAATTTAAATTTATCTATAGTTACAGCAGCAAATTAGACACACTTATTCTGTGTAGAGATCTCTTCTGGTATTATTCCTTTCCAAAAAGTGGCAGGGCAAGCAATTTTAGAGCTATTTGCTTTACATTAAAGGAACATTAAAATTAGGGATGTGAACAAGTAACCAGTTAAATGGTAGTGTAGGTACTGGTTAGTCGGCACCCAGGTGCAGCCTGCTACAGGCGGAGGGCTGCTCCAGCCCCTTGGGAGTTGCCTGCTCCTTCCCTGTAGAAGCCACCCATTCCTCCCTCCGCACCACACACGAGGGGCTGTTGGCTCCTAGTGCCAAGCATGGGGGCAGGGAGACTGCATGGGGTGGGTGCATGGAAGGAAAACCCACTTAATCAGTTAACCAATTAAACCAACTGATTAACCAGGAGTTTACATCTCTATTTAAAACTATGCAAATCATAGCCAGAAGGTGTTAAAGGTAGGTTACTCCCTTCCCTCATTCTGTAAATTGTAACCAATTCACTTCCATGTCTTTATCAGCTTCCCTTGTTACTTAAGTTTCTCTTGTTCCCAAAGGCTATGTCTACACTGCAGTTATTTCAGAATAAGCTATTCCGGATTAGTTATTCTGAAATAGCTTACTTCAAAATAGCATGTCTACACTACAGGGAAGCCTCAAAATTAGTCTGAGGCAGGCTTCCCTAATGTAGATGTGCTATCTCGATTTATAGCCCCAAGAGGAATAACTTACCCTTCACTAAGGCCATTGTATTTCGAAATAGCAGAAGTGGAGCATCAACACACGTCTTATTTCAAAATAGCTATTTTGGAATAGGCATTATTCTTTATAGAATGAGGTTTAAAGAAGTCAGAATAAGCCATCCATTTTTTTCGAAATTATTTCGAAGTAATAGAATTGCTGTGTAGATGCTCACATAGTTTTCAGAATAATTGCTGTTATTCTGAAATAACTTTGGTGTGTAGACACACCGTATGGGAACTTTGCCAATATTTCATCTTTTAACATCAACAAGGGAGTCAAAAGGAAAGTAGAGCCAATTCCCTGTGCAACCCCCCGACAATAAGTAGCAGGAGCAATATAATTGTGTAATTTCCAAAAGAGAAATCTTTAACTATGAAGAAATCATCAAGCTATATATTTCATACGCCATATTTGTAATAAAAGTTTAGGATAAAGGAAGAGTATTTCTATTTCAATAATTGTTAAATTAGAGGATCCCAAACAAAACACACACATAGAATGAGACAGAAGCCCTTTGATACAAAATTAAAAACTGCAAATACAAATAATAAAAATATTCACATTATTAATAAATCCTTCAAAAATGAGTCATGTAGTGTTATTATTCTGTTCATTCCATAACTGTTAGAGGCTTCAGATGGTTCCACAAGACACAATGTTCTATCTGCATGCACAATCACTTAAATACAGGATGCATCTTGTGCATGCAATCCCCATTTATTAATAACAACAGCACGTGCACAGGTGAATGAGTGCACAAATGGAGGCCAAGTTGGTATTCCTTTTAAAGTTTGGCCCAGAGATATTAGTTTCTGGCTACATGATTTTCATCATTGTGTTTTGGTGCCACGGCTGTGTTGGACCGTTCTACAGCTCTCAAAAACAGGAAAACAAATTGAACAAGGAGCATGAGACAAGAGCCTGTCTGCACTTACCATTGTAGACATTTCCCTTTTACTACTACAGATTTCCAATGCATTGAAAAACTGATCTCAAATATCTTAAAGTAACTGATCATTTGAACACGATATCCTGTGTATCTTGGTAATGTCACGTGTCTCACAATTCAGTGTTTATTTCATAGTCCATAAATCCTATAAACTAGCTGCATCTTTAAAAATGACAACTCACCTGAGTAAAACATTCATACCATTACTGTTGGACAATAAGTTAAATTAGAATTTGACAAAGTATATGGAACATAGAAACATCCAGTCTGAATGTTTAAAAATCAGAAACTATATCATCTTTCTAGACTTCCTGTTACCAGAAGTAAATGCACTGACATTTCAGAAATTTTATATATACAAAAGTATTAAATATATCTTAAATCTAATTTAAATTGTGCTATGAGACAGCACAAAATTTTACATCTGTTAGATTTCTCTTTTCTTTGCAGGAAATGTTCTACTCACTGTTCACATATGACTTTTTCATCAGATATAATCTTCAAGCGTTCCAAAATATGGGTTTAAGATAAAAACTTAAGAACTGTAATAAAGTCTCAAACTATTGCTGCTAACAGGACTTCAGTATTCACTTGATTTATTTAGCATAGCCACGGAACAAAATTTGTACATTCAGTCACATTAAAAACAAAAGGAATTACAAAGCAGTCCATTTACTCTAAGTGCGTTCCTTTGGAGTCACACTGTTTCTTTTGCTTCACTTATATGTCTTCATATGCCACAGGCCATCATTTAAATAATGGATATTTTCAATGCCAATCCCTTTGTTTACTTTCTCACTGTGGAAGGAAAAATTAAATGTAAAAGATAGATATAATGGTTCATTACCATATACCTACAATTCAGCCCAACTCTTTGGGCTCATCTGCATTAGTTTGTAGTCATGTTTGATAACTCAAGGTAAAATATATTTGAAAGCTGTGTCAAAGCCTCTATGTAAGCTGATTTTGACTTTATACCTTAGTTTTTGAAGAGCATATTTACAAAATAATGACGTTCCAAATACATAATTCTTGGAGGAATCAAACTTTACTGGTCAGCTGCACCTCACATCGCAATCAGAAATATCTGATAATTAAGTGATATGAAACTAGAAAAACAAACACCATCTAACAGAAAAAGGCTAGAGATGTTAAAACGGTTAACCAGGTTAACTATAGCACAAAAATGGTTAACCATTTTAACTTGGGGCCTGCTGCCACCCCACCACTCATCCTTTCATGTCCAGGTTTACACCTCCCAGTATGTCTCACCACCGCAGTTCACTGGTAAGCATACTAAGCCTCATGCTTACCAGTTAACCATTTGACATCCCTCTAAGAAACAGCAATAGAAACTGTTAGACTGAAATGAAATATAATTAGAACATTACTTTTGTCATTAGATGGGTTGAGCGGAAGCCAATACATCATCTATATTAGGGATGTAAAATCCCGTTTAATTAGTTAACCAATTAAACTTACGTTTAAGCAATTAAACAGAGATGGACTCGAGAATCCATGCCAAAATAAACCCTGCTGCAGACAGGGGCTGCTCTGGACTGGCTGGAGTGCACCCCCGTCTGCAGTAGACCTCATGAGGCTCACACAGCCCCTTGCCTATAATTGCACCAGCCACCATCAGTTAATCATAACCGGTAAGCCTCATCCATTTAGGGATGTGAATCGTTAACTGGTAAGCCTCACCCATAGCTATATGCCTGCTTATTCTGCTCCCAAGTAAACTTCCATGGCTTCCTGCTGGGAAGGCAGGTTGCACAGTCGCCTCCAAATTCATTGTTCTTATAGTCTTAATGAAGCAGCAAGAGGTACTAATTATCTATGATCAGCTCTATCCCTCTGGATACCAGTTATCTACTGATTTAACACTTCATTTTTAATGGCCTAGATTTAAATTTTAATTTAGGGTCTTTGATCAACATGGCCCTTCCATATCAGAGTGCTAGGGACATTATAGAACTGAACTTCAGTCATCTTAATGACCATGCAATGTACCATTACCAAGCCACTCAGATATGTTTTAGGCGTATTTTAAATTCTAAGCCACATTTGTGCTTCCACTTATTTGTGGTAATTAACAGCATAGGCTGTTTCTATACATTGGAATCCTTCAATTCAAATTATCTAATGCCTGCTAAAGTGACAAAAGTAATTCAAGCAGCAGAATTCGCCCAGTTGTCATTCTGTCAATTTGTAATTGCACCCTTTTGATAAAACCCTCAATTATTCAATCAACCCTTCTATTACTTGATAAAACTGCTTCACTTTCTTCAAACTTCCAATTCATTCTGGCTGTGTCTACACTGGCACCCTTTTCCGTAAAAGGGATGCTAATGAGACACTTCGGAATTGCAAATTCCGCGGGGGATTTAAATATGAACATGGCTGCCGCTTTTTTCCGGCTCGGGGTTTTGCCGGAGAAAAGCGCCAGTCTAGACGGGATCTTGCGCAAAATAAGCCCTTTTCCGGAAGATCCTTTGAAAGTAGGAATAAGGGATCTTCCGGAAAAGGGCTTATTTTCCTCAAGATCCCGTCTAGACTGGCGCTTTTCTCCGGCAAAACCCCAAGCCGGAAAAAAGCGGCAGCCATGTTCATGCAAATGCCGCGGGGATATTTAAATCCCCCACGGAATTTGCAATTCCGAAGTGTCTCATTAGCATCCCTTTTACGGAAAAGGGTGCCAGTGTAGACACAACCTCTAGGTTTAAGAACTAGAAGAAATGTTAGATACCTCTGGGGATCTTTATTTTTCATTTTTTTAAACAGCAGCACATACCTCATTAAGCTAATGACTAACCCAACTGTAAGCAGTAATTTGGTTGGTTACTTTATCAACCTTCTGTCATTATTTTCTGCAGCTACAATCAAAGTGCTGGGTGATCTCAAAGAGTACATTAAAAAGTAGAAGATTATGAAACAGTATTTTGCATTAACCTAGGCACTACCTCCCACAGCAATGGGAGAATCCCTCTATCACTGTAGTGTCTACTCTGAGTGAATAGTGCAGCTGTAGCACGGTCACATTTTAAATATAGACATTGCCTAAGTTAGTTAGGTGTTTCTGAAATTAAGGATGTTAAGAAGCGGATAACTGGCTAATCGTGCAGTCGATACAATTTGTATTGGCTAGACAATTAGTCGATAAGTGGAAGCTCTCTGACCTGACTCATACTGGGTCCAGGAGCTACCCCAGCTGTGGCTCTGCAGTTGAAATGTAGGTGGAGCTGGGTGCACAGGCAGCCCAGCTCCTACTACATTTAAACCGCAGAGCCACCATAGCAGGGGTAGCCCCCGGAGCTGGTGCGAGCTGGGACTCAACAGTCCCTGTTCGTGCTGGCTCCAGGACTGCCAGGCTCTTATTACATTTAAAATGCAGAGACACAGCAGGAGGAGCTCCTAGGTCCCACTGACTCTGGGACCACTGTGGCTCTGCCTCCCCTTTCTCCCCCTTTCTCCCATACTACAGAGGCAGTGCTGGGGAGGAGCCAGCTCCTGTTTCGAGGCAGCAAGGGCAGGCAGAAAGCAAGTAGTTGAGTAATCACTCGACTAGTTGCTTACATTCCTATCTGAAATAACACATTAATAATAGTTAGAAGACAGACCCCCACCCTTCCTTTTGCAACTAAAGAAACATCCTGTTAACCATTCTCTTCTCTGCCTCCTCCTTCTCTAGTATTTTTTCCACTTTGCTTCTCTCCCACCAATAGGCCTCTTACTTAGCTAAGCTACCTAACCTCAGCAGTAGGAATTTTATGCATGGGAGATCAACTAGAGAGATATGACTAGATCAACTAGAGAGAACAAGATGAAGAAAACATCAAGAGCTAGAAAGTATCAGTAAGACTTCTAATCTTCAGAGCATGAAAAGCTTTCCTCATCACTGTGATGGACTCAAGCCTCCTAGACTTCAAACTACAACTCTCTCAGGACATCAAGTCCCATATGTTAGCACATACTTGTATACAGATGCTTCTTTTTTTAGGTCTTTATGAAAATAAAACAAGCTGACACTCTCCATATTTGAGAACTAGAGCTATCTTCCCATTACCTCACACACAAAATAAAATAATGGTTTGCATTTCTGCTGGGGGGGGGGGGGGGGGGGGGGCAAAATAGACTGTTCTCTGTGCTTCTTAGCAGGAAACATGGCTGAATGAGTTGAGTCTAGCCACAATGAGAAACCCTGACTTAAGTCATTGTCTTCTAAATGTAATTAAGAATTAACCTACCCCTTGTGATATAGATCAATTTTAAAAATGAGACTCACATGTCCTCAGCTGACATCTTCATGACTCCAACACACAGTGCATGTTGTTTTCCTTCTGCCATTATTGCCTAAAACATACCGCTAAGGAATACCAGTGTGTGCTTGTTTTAAAAAAAAAAAAACATTTCAGAAAAATAAAAGCAGAACATTAGGAAACACCTTTTCAGAAATATCATAGTTACTAGAGTAACAGCACTTTATAGACTAACAAAACATGATCTTTCGTGGGCACAGCCCGGACGAAGAAGTGGACTGTGCCCATGAAAGCTCATGATGCCATCTATATGTTTTGTTAGTCTATAAAGTGCTACCAGACCATTTGCTGTTTTTTAAGTTTATCCTGTACAGACTAACTTGACTATCCCCTACAGCTAATAGATTAACAGTTATTCTTTTACTGCTCTCAAGAGACTAGTTCTTAAAAGCAACTGTATGTACAAGATTGTATTGTGGCAGTGTCTAACACAATAACATGGGTCAGAAAATTAAACTAGTGCTCTAGATTCACTCAACAGAAAAAAAGTGCATTAAACTGCTGAGTCAACATGCAAAGACACACACAACCAATTTGTATTGTCTTTAAACAGCAGTGATATTAAAAAAACAACATGTAACGTTAAACTGATAGCAATACAGGACTAACTACTTCCTCTGTGTCTATTAAAGAAAGATGACGTCCTTACCCTTCTTAAAAGAATGACACATTGATTAAAGTGGTGCATCTGGGATGTTTCTTTAAATACCAGGAACCAAAATCCTGAGGAATGTAACACCAATGACAGAACTAAAACAATATTAAGACAACAATAAAGTTGTGATATAGAAACTCCAAATCAAAGGACCCCCTGTTCTTTGCAAATAATTCCCCCCTTGGACCAGACAAACTCATTATGCTGATCGCAATTTGCAAGGTATTTATCCATAAATAATAATATGTAAAATATCTACAGGAAGCCCATAACTTATGAAGATTCATAGTAATTGTGAGATGTACATACAGATAATAATATAAGGAATAACGTAATCTATATTAAAAGTATGCTTTATGGGCTTCAAGAAAAAAAGTAAAGATTAATCACTAAGATGTCTTAATGGTCCATTTAGGCAAAGGGGAATCATCAACCTGCCAAGTTTGGCCAGTGGGACAATGCAAGGCTCAATTGTTTAGCATTATGCAATACATGGTTTCATATTCAAAGTCTATCAGAGGTAAAGAAACCTAAAGGTGAAAAAAGAACATTACAACAGAGCTTTATGCTGGCTGTGAGTTGAAACAAAAGCTTGTTTTTAGAATAACAGTGTTGGGAAAAAACACACTGGTTCCATTTACTGACTGGGACGGTTTCAAGAAAAATTTGGATCCTGGCTACCGAGGAACCACAATTGTGCACTGCAAAACAGACAGAATTTCGAGCTGGGGGAATTGAATAGGCAAGGTAACTATTGAAAGTATAATGAGATTTGTTTCAGATTTTGTTTTGCATCATAAGCACTTGTTTCCACCATACTCTATTGTTTCTAGTTAAATTATCAGTCTCTCTTAGAATAAAACAGAAGGTGGTTGAAGTGCTCATGAATACTGTGTCATTTACAGGAATGGCGGTTTAAAGTAAAACTAGTAAACTTTGGAATGCTGCAGAGGATTTAAATTATGTGAACAGCCAGTCTCAGGGGCTGGATATCACAAAGGGATTTGTGAAGTAGGATGCACCCATTGTTAACTGGCAGGCAAAGGAAGGGCTGAAATAAGATCAGAGGAGAATACATGAGTGGCTGATGGGCTCACAGTGTCACGGAACTACCAGAGACTTCTCCCTTGCTGAAGGCAGGGGATAACAAAATATCTGGGTAACTCAGATACCAGCAGAGAAGTCAGATGTCCTTTCTTTCATTACTAAAATGAACAATGACACATGCTAACAGCAGCAGCACAACAGGGGCATTTGAGTTCAGCCAAGTTGAATCTACAAATTCCATTCTCAGTAAGTGGAGAAGCAAGACCAGAGTCCATCACAAGCACAGAGTAAAAGATTAGCTGCACTCAATCACAAGAGTCTCTGACATCAGTGGGACCACTACTTCATCAATATACAGTTGAGCAACACTCTCAACTCATTTCTTTATATTTGCTTTTGTATTAGGAATGTTAAGTTTCAATCAACTAACTAATCAAATAGTCACTGGAATTTCCATCGGCTATTCGATTAGTCAATAAAGACTAGTACATTTCAAAGGCGGAACACCGCACAAAAGCCCCAGCAAAAGCCCTTGTGCATTTCAAAGATTGAAATGCCATGTGCAGCCTGGGGCCAGCGGGGAGTCCCACTGACACCAGGCTCCATGCAGGTGCTTCCACTTTGAAATACAAGAGCGCCATAAGAACATAACGGCCATACTGGGTCAGACCAAAGGTCCATATAGCCCAGTAACCTGTCTGCCAACAGTGGCCACCACCAGGTGCCCCAGAGAGGGTAGACTGAAGACAATGATAGCGATTTGTCTCCTGCCATCCTTCTTCAGCTTCTGACAAACAGAGGCCAAGGACACCACTTCCATCCCCGGCTAATAGCCTTTTATAGACCTAACCTCCATGAAATTATCTAGATTCTCTTTAACTCTGTTAAAGAGCATAGCCTTCACAGCCTCCTCTGGCAAGGAGTGCCACAGGTTGACTACACGCTGTGTGAAGAACTTTCTTTTATTAGTTCTAAACCTGCTACCCATTGATTTCATTTGGTGTCCTCTAGTTCTTCTATTATGGGAACTAATAAATAACTTTTCTTTATCCGCCCTCTCCACACCACTCATGATTTTATATACCTCTATCATATCCCCCCTCAGTCTCCTCTCTTCTAAACTGAAAAGTCCCAGTCGCTTTAACCTCTCTTCATATGGGACCCGTTCCAAACCCCTAATCATTTTAGTTGCCCTTTTCTGAACCCTTTCCAAGGCCAAACTATCTTTTTTGAGGTGAGGAGACCACATCTGTACACAGTATTCAAGATGTGGGCGTACCATAGTTTTATACAGGGGCATTAAGATATTCTGGGTCTTATTTTCTATCCCTTTCCTAATAATTCCTAGCATCCTATTTGCCTTTTTGACCACCGCTGCACTCTGTGTGGAAGTTTTCAGAGAACTATCCACAATAACTCCAAGATCTTTCCTGATTTGTCATAGCCAAATTAGCCCCCATCATACTGTACGTATAGTTGGGGTTATTTTTTCCAATGTGCATTACTTTACACTTATCCACATTAAATTTCATTTGCCATTTTGTTGCCCAATCACTCAGTTTGGTGAGATCTTTTTGGAGTCCCTCACAGTCTGCTTCCCCAAGACCCGTCCAGCTCTCCTTCCTTGAGGCCTCATCCACTCTGTTCCCCTCCTCTCCATCACTTGCTATCCCCAGCCCTTATACACTCTCACTAGGTTGAGACAGGAGGTGTGGGGTGGGAATGAGGGATTTGGGTGTGGGAAGGGATGAGAAGTACAAGCTCTAAGAGGGAATCTGGATGCAGGAGAAGGGGATGTTGGCTTGGGGAAAGGGATCCAGGCTCGGAAGTGTTGGACTCATGTGGACGGTTGGGGTGCTAAGCAATCAGTGGTTTGAGCATTGGCCTGCTAAACCCAGGGTTGTGAGTTCAATCCTTGCAGAGGCCATTTAGACATTTGGGGCAAAAATTTGTCAGGGATGGTACTTGGTCCTGCTGTGAAGGCAGGGGACTGGACTCGATGACCTTTCAAGGTCCCTTCCAGTTCTAGGAGATTGGCCTCTTAAATTATGGAGATTGCCTGTGTAGACAGGCAACATGAATTTCTTCCGCAAGAAAGCCCTATGGCTAAAATGGCCTTCAGCACTCTCTCAGGCAAGAGAGCGTCCACACTGCCATAGATGCTCTTGTGCAAAAGCACAGCTCGCACATGGCAGTGTGGACGTGTTCTTGCACAAGAACTCTTGCGCAAGAAACCGCCAGTGTAGACATAGGCTAATGTGAAAGGAAGATATTGAGGCCTACCCAGAATATGTCAAATGAGCACCAGTTTAATTGCAAGTGTAAAGGAAAGGCAGCGTTCTGAGATTCAGGAGATGTAAAATAAAAACAAAATTTGATTGGATGACGAACAATAACCCTGCTTTTAGGGAAGTAAGTAACTCAGACAGCAATATGCAACAAAGTGCAGACTAAAGTTTTTGTAAGGGCAGAATGAGACAACAAAAATCTAACATCAGCAATTGTCAGGTGAGTGGAGGAGTACCAAAATACCGAAACAAGGTATATAAAGTTGGATGGAACAGACTAAGAGCGGATGGGTTGCGAATCCAAAAAGCTAGGTCTGATCAACCAGGGCTCCCTCCCCGGCGCTGAATCTCGCTGCTGCATATAAGCTCCGAAAGGGGAACACCAGTCATAAGTTGCAACGAAAAATCCAGAAAAGGAGAAACAAAGAAAAGAATATCTCCTGAATCTAAGCAATGCTTCTATCTTTCTTAACATGAGTATTATATATTTGTTAACTCCAAAAATTGTTTAAAGGTAAATCAGGAGGGTATATCTGTAGGAAAAGTTATTATTTCTTTTTTTTTAACTGTACTGCTTTTCTACTTTTTATTTATATATTACACTGTCTTAAAAGAATCAAAGATAGTGAATTGATTTAAATGAAAAACTAATTATAAAGTAAATAGAAAAATAAAAATCTTTGTTTGACCCTAAGAAGAAGTATTCCTCTGTCTGTGGGTTCAAATCTTTTAAAGACCCAAACCCAGTTACCAAAAGCTAAGAGTTTCCCCCCCCCATGAGCAAAATGAACTCACACCAGTACTGAGTAAATGTGGCTTGTTTGGATGTGCCATTGTGGCAACCAAGTTATTAATAAATATCTACCTTTCCCCTCTGCTGCCATGTCTCTTCCCCTTGCTCCATCAACTCTCCTGGTGCCTGCTGCCCCCCAACCCCTCATCCTCCTCTGCTGTCCTGACTCCTGGCCTTCTCACTGCCCTCAGACTTCCTGAGACCTGCCCTCCACCAGCCCTTCTCTCTCCACTGTGCCCACTCTGATCATGTGAGCTACCCCTCCTCATCCCCTCTCCTAACACCTACCCCTACAAACCTGCCCTGCCTCTCCCCTCTGGTGCTGGTCCCTCCCCTGCAGGAGTCTGCCCTTCTGCTTC